TGCAGAGCGTACGATTGCGCATTTGCGGGACGATTGCTCTTTCTCTCTCTCTCTCTCTCTCTCTTTCTTTCTTTCTCCCTCTCTCACAATATCCGTCTTTCTGTCCCGGTTTTTCTGTCCCTCTCGTTCGTTTACACGTTCGCTGGGATTTATATCTATCCACGTGCCACGTGTGTTGTTATATAACAACAACAACAGTAATGACAACAGTAACAATAACAGTAATAATAACAATAATTCCTTATCAAATAACAACAGTAACAACAACAGTGATGTAATATATGTTTTTCCACCGATCTCGTTTTCCACGAGAGGCGCCGAGTTTCCCACGACGAGCGTGCCCGACGAGCGCGCCTCGAACACGCGCTTCTAATTCGAAACGCACAGACACGCGTGAAACGCGGAATTATATTTGCCCGATCGAGTAGCTCGGCTCGACTTTCCGCCCTCGATTTCAAGAATCGGCCGCTTTTGTAGTAGGTTTTAATAATATTCAGCGAGTTTCTGCAACAAGTTATTATGGCTGCAAAACGGTACAGAACTTTTTGGTTCAGAATGGTCTAATCTATAAATATATGACAGTTATTGTACCTACCGACAGATATTATTATATTGAACATTGAATCTTGAACTTTGAATCTATCATCAGGTTTTCAATCATTGATACCTCGAAATTTTGCGTGATTTACAGAATGATAGAGGACTATTCAGTTCAACCCGTTGTACCTTCATACGAGCTAATGAAAGGAAAGTTTCGGAATTTCCTTTCTGCTATATTTTTCCTTATCAAAACGTTGGTTTCATGTAAACATTTGTGTCAATTCACTGCATGGATGTGAGCGCTAAAAAGTGCTTAATGATGTTTGAACTTTGAACTTTTTCTGATTTCACTTGCAGATGTGTTGTTTCTAACCGTAAAATGACTCGCGAAAATGACATATGTATATAAACTGTGTCCGACACTTTTCATTCATTGGCTCGTGTGAGGATAGAACGGGTTAAATTTAATAGAAATGTCCTCTGTAGTTCTGCAAATAATCACAAAACATTTCGAATTATTAATGATTGAAACGCCTGACTACAGGTTCAAAATTCAAGGTTCAATATACTGACATATCGCATTAAGTACAAAAGCTGTCGTACACTTTGTAGATTAGGCCACACTGAACACAACAAAAAAGTTTTGAATCATTTTGCAAATAACATGCAAATTATTTAGTTATTATTTAAAGTATCCTTTACACATAATCAGTTTCAATCATTAATAACACAAAATTGTTCGTGGTTGTGTGTCATATAAAAGATGACTTTAGAGTCTGGATTGGATGTGACAAAGGGCCGCGTCTCGAAAAAAATTGCGCTTCTTGCTACCAGTTGACACCCGTTGTTGTTGGAAATCTTCAGAAATAATATGGTTTTCATTATACAAACTCTTGACCTACTTCTTGCGTAAACATTAATTTATACAGTAGAATTAATTACTTATTAAANTGTAAATTAAATGTCCATAGCCCTAAGTATATATAGCTCATGTTACTCATCAACGTAGCAGTCAGTAGCATCATAATATCTCATTGGAAGAGGTGTAGTTAGTATAGAAAGGGAATTAAATCGTAAGTGAAGTAATATTGCTCCTTATCACTGGAAAAATACTGAATGTAAAAATATTTTATTCGAGGTAAGCTACAAAAATATACAATAAAAAATAGAAGTTTTCATTTAAGAAATTGAAAATAACCTTCATGTGCCATTCAA